TGCAAGAGCCTTATGAAAACGTTTGAAATGTGAGAATGACCAAAATGTGACACAGAGACATGAAGTGAGCACCTGCCGTTGGGGAAATAGTGCCAATAGACTTGTTTGATGCAGGGTTGCCACAAGCTTTTAATTTATAAAAATGCAATATCGCCGAAGCTCAGTGAAGCGAAGTGCAGTAAAGCAAGGTATGCCTGTAAATTGTTGACCGGAAAGCTAATTTGCTCTGTATGCTTTCACCCAACCACCGCGGAAAATAAATAAATAAAGTGGACCGAGATGGCTGAGAGAGCCTTTCATACTTGGGTGCATCAGAAAATGGTGGGAGTATCCTGAGTGGGGGGCCCAGGGTATTGGAAACACCTCAATTTAAAGGGTCATGTTCAGGCAGTGCTGAATGAAGCCGACCTCTGCCCAGGCTCATTGGCACTCGGGGATAATGACTTGAAACAAGAGACACTGTTAAGTGAATGGAACTTTCGGACGATGCATAGTGAAGATGTAGCTGTCTAAATGGATAGCAATCAAGAAGGCTTGAAAAGACAAGCACAGCCAGAAACGTTCATCAAAGTGCAAGACAGGAAGTCTTGGGAAAGTCCAAATCAATGTTTCTGGGGGGAGGGAAGCCTCATGACAGGTGGAGTGTGGTCAGGAGAACCCTACAGAAGGTAACAGAAGACAGAAAAAAGAGAACAGGGGAATTATTCCTTACCCTGGGCCCCAGAGCCAGTCAACCGGACTTTTCTTTGAAGCCATGGCTACCGAGAGTAGCTGTGACTTGGCGTGCTTTCTGAGACATCCCTGACCATTGCGAGCTCGTCTATGATGGTGTCAGTGGGAAGGGTCTTACATTGCATGTGCTGGAAGGGAGACAGTAGCCCCAGAGGAGTGAATGGAAGGACCAACCAGTTTTCTGACTGTGCTCTGAGGAGCTCTGGGGTTCTGTGCGGTGGTCCTGCTGAACACAGTTGCCACACACATGGGTCCCACATGCTGGTTCCACCCCCAGTGGTTCCTTAACTGGGTCTCCTTGGACGGGACATTGTGTCCTGTGGATCTTTGTTTTGCAGTCTATAAAAGAAGGAGGCTAGATTAGCTTAGCAGGGGCACCGGTGGTTCGGTGGGAGACCCAAGTTCAGTTCCCGGCTGGTGTACCTCACGTGCGGGCACCATTCACCTGTCAGTGGAGGCCTGTGTGCTGTTATGATCCTCAGCGGATTTCAGCAGAGCTTCCAGACTAGGATGGACTAGAAGAAAAGACCCAGTGACCCACTTCCAAACATCAGCCAAGGAAACCCATGGGTCACGGTGACCTCGTCTGCAACCAGTGAATCAGATGGTACGGGAGAGGGCGGTGTTTTGTCCCCTTGTTCGTGGGGTCTCTGTGAGTTGGGGGCAACTCGGTAGCAGCTGACCACAGCAGCAGGTCAGCCTAGTGGGGTTCACGTGTTTTGGAGTGGTAAAACTTCCTGTCCAATGGAAGCCAGGACAACAGCCTACGGTCCCAAGGCCTTTATGAAATAAAGGGCAGGGAGCAATTGTTTAACGATGCAGCCAGCTATCTTAAATCTCAGTTAACGAGAAGCTCTGGTTACCTGGAATACTAGTGGCTAAATGGGGATACACCAGATGTATTTGTTTGTACCACAGTATGGCAGTAAAAACCCAAATGTGGTTTGGTTTATTATTGAAAAAAATGTCAAGAGTTTGGAGTGATTTCAGACCAGGGGTGCAAGCTCATGGCCAGAGTCATCACTCTGCAATGGCAAGAGAAATGTGTGGCTGCTTAAGACCGTTCCTGGAACAATGAACTCCTGTCTCTACATTTATTTACTCAAAAGGAGACCTGCGAGTAGAAAAGAGCAAGCCGTCATGCTGTGTGCTCTGTGGAAAGAACAGAACAGAATGCAGCAAGATGCTCGCAGGAATAAACTCTGTGGCAGACATTTCTAATCATCCTGGCTTTTTCATTTGATTTCTGTCTTGTTCAGAAGCAAGCGGAACCAGCATTTACAAAGGAAACAGGGAACTCATTTAATACCCAGAAACTGAAGATCCAATTTAGAGAAGTGTTGGTCCATTTGGTGAAGTGCCTGAGTGGGTTTGCTCCTCAATTAGGAGCATGGATATGTCCTAAGTAATTCTTGTATGTGTTCCAATCCCGTGCATACGAAGACCCAGCCTCCACTGAGGTGATGGCACCTGCTTCATTTAGCCCACCAGCCAATGAATATCTAAGATCCAAGTAGCTTCCCCCTTGCTAGGAGGGTGGGGGGGTGGGTCTCATAAGCAGTAAGAGAATAAGTGTGTTGACTCCCACTAGACTGTCAGAGAAGCTGGGTTACTACTAAGGCCAGTGTGTTCTGATACAAATTTTCACCCCAAATTTTTAGGTCTCCGACTCTAGCTGTTTGCGCCATTAATGTAAGACTTTTCGTGTATCCTTTTATTTGTTGTTGTTGTTGTTATGTGCCGTCGAGTTGGACCCGACTCATAGCGACCCCTCCTTGGGTTTCACAGGTATTTATTGTTATTTGGGTGAAGATTTACAGAGCAAATTCACTTTCCATACAGCAGTTCACATACACTTTGTCTCATGTCATTGACCACAGTTTACCACAATGCAACAGCTCCCCTCCCACTTCCTCCCGATAGTTACCTCTTCCCAGTATCCATCCCTCCATGCACTCCTGCCCCCTGACCTGTCTCCCTGTGCATAAGCAGCCCTTCTTTCTCTCATGATTGTTCCCTCCAAGGAGTATATCTACCTGAGGTAAATGTTCAACTCATATGCCTGTCTTTTGTTTGGCTGGAAACCACGGGTGTGGGTTCAATTCCACACCTGAAGGGCAGCTAGGGGCCACAGTCTCAGTGGTTCCACCAGGCTCTATCGGACCAGCAAACCTGGTCCCCCCACCTTTCGTGTATCCTTTTAAAGTAATTGACTGACCACAAATCAATAAATTTCTGCTGATTTCTAATTAAAAGTTCATTTTCTCCTGGATTCAAACTTTTCTTCAAGGAAACACATCTCTGGAGAAAAGAAAGTCAACAGAGAAAAAAGTGTTAACTTTAAAAATAGTTCACTTGATGGGTCATTATTTTAAGGAAAGAGAGAGAGGAACTGATATTTGTGGGTAAGTCTGCTTGCTGTAAACCAAGTCCAAGGCTAGGTGCCTGAGGGCTTCTGCTTTTAATCCTTAGGACACTCCAAGAGTTAGGAGGGCTATCTTTAATCTAAGCAAAAAAATTTTGCCCTGGGTCACACAGTTCAAATTGGTCCAACTGGGTTTTGAACCTGTGCCCAAAAGCTCAGGTCTCCCATTGAACTACCAGTGCCCCTGCCTCAGACTGGGTTCTTGAACCTGAGGTGACAATCTATGGTTTTCCCCTGACCCTCGGAAGGGACCAAGCTGTGTAGAATGATCGGTGTCTGTGGTCACTTCCCCCTTCAGGCAAGTCGCCCAGCTGTTGGTTGGGCTCCCTTCTCCTCTGTCCTGTCCATTTTTAAGTGTCTTGAGTAGAGTACATCACTCAGTCCCCTTACACACTAGGGCACCAGAAATCTCAGTCACAGGATGGTGTTGTTGATGTTGCATGCCTGCGAGTTGATTGCAGCTTATGGCTCCCCATGTGACAGAACTGCTCATGGGGTTTCTAAGCTATAATCTTATGGGAGCAGATGGCCAGGTCTTTCTCCCACAGAGTCACTGGGTGGGTTCGAACCTCCAATCTCTTAGTAGCTGAATGCTTAATGGTGTGCCACCAGGGCTCCTTGTCATCAAGATAAATGATATTTAATGCAGTATTTTAACAAAATCAAATATTCTTTTTTAAAAAGACACCCACAGCTTATGCACAGGGAGACAGCTCAGGGGGCAGGAATGCATGAAGGGATGGACACTGGGAAGAGGTAACTATGGGGAGGAAGTGGGAGGGGAGCTGGAGCATTGTGGTAAACTGTGGTCAATGACATGAGACAAAGTATATGTGAACTGCTGTATGGAAAGTGAATTTGCTGTGTAAACCTTCACCCAAATCACACACACACACACAAAAGACACCCACAATGAACGAAATTTTGGAATTTAAAATCAAGACAAGTTCAGTAACAATGTGATGCAGAACCATATCAGAGACTAAGGGAAAAATCAGAAATGCCCATCTCATCTTTATTTAAAACTTGTGTTTTCCTCATCACATCATGGATCTTTTTTCCAAATATTGCACAATGTCGTTTATCTTGATGGCTGGGAGTTTTGGTCAACCCCCTTACGTTTTGCACCTGTGGTGAGTGCCTCGCCCTAGTTCTGGTCCTGCTCCCTGCTTTTATCTGTGCTCCAGCAGGTGCTGGGGTGCATTGGGAACATGTCCAGGAGCCATCAGCCTAGTGGGAGTCAGTCACGCACAGGGACACAGCCAGACGATTGTAAGACTGGAATGTGTGTGATGAAGGAACTCTGGTGGATAAGGCATTTGTCTGCTGACCAGAAGGTTAGCAGTTCAAACTCACCAGCCACTACGCAGAAGGAAGATGGGGCAATCTACTTCCATAAAGATTTACAGCCTCAGAAACCCAAAGGGGGTTGCTATGAGTCAGAATTGATTCAATGGCAGTGAGTTGTGTGTGATGGTAACCTTGGTGAAGTGTCACCATGAACACAAGGTTCCCTGGGAGGGCTTCAATGAGGTTTGAGGCAGCCTGGGAGTTGGCTTGTGGGCATGTGGATGGGCTGGGCTCCACCAAACGATGGCTGGAGAGTGTGGAGCAATGACAAGCCCCCTCGTTGCTCTGAGCCTCAGTGCGCCTGTTGTGTACGGAGGAGGGCACAGTTGTGCCTCCCTCTGAAGGCTGTAAGGACTAGAATGAGTCAGTTGTACTAAGTGCCTAGTAGGTAGAGTCTGCCACAATGGTGAGGCTGACGCTGACCCCTCTTTGTCGAGGTCCTTACATGGCAGTTCCTCTGGACCACGTAACGTGTCTGCTCTTTGTTTCACAGACATCCACGACGGGGATGGGAGTTCCAGCAGCAGCCACCAGACCCTCAAAAGCACGACCAAGTGGGCGGCCTCCCTGGAGAATCTGCTCGAAGACCCAGAAGGCGTGAAAAGATTTAGGGTTTGCCATTTTCACTGTTGATCAGGACTGATGCAAAACATGAAGGGGCGTGAGGGGAACCTGGGCCAGTTTTTAACACTGTCAGTTCCACTTTGAGGGTGCCTGGGTGACACACGAGGAGCTCTGGTGGCGCAGTGATTAAAGCATTCAAACTTAACAGCTGCTCTGCAGGAGAAAGATGAGGCAGTCTGCTTCTGTAAAGATTGATAGCCTTGAGTGGCACACATGGTTTGCACTCAACTGCTAACCTAAACCTTGGTTTGAACGCACCCAGAAGCGCTACAGAAGAAAGGCCTGGCACCCTGCTTCCATAAAGATTGCAGCCAAGAAACCCTGTGGAGCAGTTCCACGTGGTTGCCATGAGTCAGAATTGAGTCGATGACAATGAGTTTGGTTTTTGGTTTGGTCCCACTTTGAGAGCAGGGACTTCCTATCTGTCATTACCAAGGTGGACCAACCCCAAGGGGCATGCAGTCTTGTTTCTGGTATATGTACAGTGGGGGACGGGGGAGGTTGATGGAGAAAGGCACTGGGTTCATTGGAGGTCTGTTTGTACAAGGAATTCCAGCTCTGTGATGCCTGGAAAGGGGCATTCTCTTTGATTTGAAGGCTTGCTTTCTTGTGCCTTGGGAATTCTGAGGATGCCATTAGCTGCAGAGTAAAGAGGCTGGATAAACAGCCAGCAACTGGAGCGTGGTGAAGGGGAACGTCAAGAGAGCAGGCCGAGGGATGAGGAAGGGTCAATGCTACCTGGAAACAAGCATTTGCTCGGCAAAAACCCCAGGTGCCCTCTAGGAGGACCTCATGTGGATTTGAAGAACACCTTGAATCTCTTTGAGCCCCAACTTCTGTCTTTGAACTTGAGTCAGGCCAGGATAAGCACTCCTGCTGTTGGTCCCTGTCTCAGCCCCCGAGGAGGAGGTGGGCAGTACCAGGGGTCCAGTGTTCCTGGATGCCAGGCTGCTGCAGCTGCCTTGTGCATCTCAGGGACAAAAGGGTGTCTGCAGTGCCGCCGGCCCCCCAACATCTGCTCCCATCTGCCATCTCTCACCCAACACTGTCTCCATCATGGCATTGTTAGAAATGCTTAATGTGTTTTCTTTCCTTCTGTTAAAAAAAAAAAGAGCCCGATTTTAGAGGAATGTACTGTTTAAACAGTGTCGGGAAGGAACTAATATGTCTTCCGCTTTAATTTACTTTTTGGTAATTTATTGTCAGCTAGAGTTGCTGGTAGAGTCTTGCTTCATTTTCACTCTTCCTCATGACATTAAATGCATATGAAATTCTGGCTTTAACATTAGACATACACTTTGCTTTGTAGCCATTAAATGTTTGCAGGGATTTTTAAAGGGCAGTTAAGCCTTGTTCACTTGCCAAATTTTGCCAAATCAGTTGCTGAAGAAGAAAGCATTAAAAATTATTATTATTATTCTTTAAACAATGCAACTTACTGTATGAATTCTTTTCTTTTTATCCATAGGAGTTTCTAAAAAAGGAATTCAGTGAAGAAAATGTTTTGTTTTGGCTAGCGTGTGAAGATTTTAAGAAGACACAAGATAAGAAACAGGTATACCTTCTATTCTATAGTCATTGTCTTGATGTATTTTTTTTCCTCCTTATAAAGTTACAGCTGCCTTTCCAATGTTGTGTTGCTGTTATGTGCCGTCGAGTCGGCCCCGACTCATAACGACCCCTCCTTGGGTTTCCGAGGCAGTATCACTATGGAAGTAGATTGCCCAACCTTCCTTCCAAAGAGTGGCTGGTGGGTTTGAACTGCCAGCCTTAGTCAAGTACCTTAGGCACTATGCTACCAGAGCTCCTGCCTTTCCAATAGATGATGAAATTTACTAAAGAAACCTGGTTCATGTTGGATTTGGAAGGAAGGTTAAGCTTCAGGCTAGGGATCTTATGTTGATCAAAAAATTAACTATTTTAAAAAGAGTGAATAAATCCATTTTTATTTTATTTTTCTATTTTATTGTAAATCCATTTTTAAGTGGAATTCAAGTGGACAAATATTTAAAGTAAAAGCAGCAGTTCATGTCATTTAGAGTTCATCATTGCGTATGATTTTTTTTTTTTTTCCTTTATGTATAAGTTATGAGGATGTTTCTCCCAGAGCTTGCCCTGTTGGCATTTTGTATGGAGGTAAAACACTAAGCAGATGTGTAGACATAAAAGCACAACCTGCATCAGATGGATTGTCAATTATTCAGTGTATCTTTACAGAATGTCCTATAGTTGGCATGCACTCGACACAGAGGTTTCTGACTGTTCTCTTGGGTAGAGGGGTGCTCTTTGCAGGAGGTAGCTGATGTCACCTTCCCTATGTCAGCTGGATTTTCTGTCACTGAGGGTTGGTTGTAAGAAGTGGTGGGTGGGATTAAGAGGAAGAGGCATGTGGACTGAGTATGTTTACAAGGCCTGTTCCTGTGAATTTCTAAGAGGCTGCCAACTAAATACCTACAGGGGCTGTATAAGTGTGTGAGTACGTGAGGCTTCTGGTGTGTGGCTGTAGGGAGCAGTGGGGACTGCAGCTGGTTGCTTACCAAGTTTGGCAGAGAATACTGGGGTCTGTGGCTGTCTGGGCTTTTCCTGCTTCAAGTTCTGTCTCCACCAACTCACTGATGTTCTCACCCTCACCTCTTGGACCCTGAGGGACCTTCCTTCGTAAGGTATCGTCTTCCATCTTTAGCCCAGGGCTGCCTGTTTGTCCAGAGACGCTCAACATTTGGAATCTTACGTGGAGGCATCTGATTTCTATAAGCGTGGGAACTAATTTTTGGGAAATTTGAAACCTCGCCTGCCAAACAGAGCACATCTGTAGGCAGACGTGACTTGTGGCTGCCAGGTTTGAGCCTCCAACAGGAAAATCCGCGGGGCCAGCAGCCATTAAGTGTTTGCAGACAACAGCTTGGAAAGTGTCCACAGGGGCTATTCAGAGGCCCTGCGGGGCTCAGAGCATGTCCCCGATGGAGCAGTGAGGCCTTCCACTCTGTCGCTGGCAAAGGAGCTCTCTGGATGGACTCCTCTAGCTTGAATTCCCTGGTGGCCTGGCACTTCATTGGCCTTGGCACTTGGCTTTTGCTCCCTTCTGGCTCCTTCTGCCCTCAGGCTGGTTTAGCCTGAGCCTCCTGGATGGTGAACGCCTCAGGGGAAGGTGGGAGAACAGATGGGAGCACTAGTTTCAGAAAGCTGGGCTGTGGGTTGACGTCCTTCAGGGCGGGACTCCCTTATTCTTCGTCCTCAGCACCCAGGACAGGGCCCAGGGACACTCATCGATAAACCCTGCACCGTGTAACTGGTGGGGAGCCCCTGAGTGGCACAAAGGCTGGCTGCTAACCTTGGAGGTTCAGGTGCACACAGGTACCTCAGAAGAAAGGCCTGACAGTCAACCTCGGAAAATCCCGCCACTGAAAACCCCGTGACACAGTTTTGTCACCATGAGTTGGCTCTGACTGGATGGTCACTGGTGCAACTGATTCTTCCAGCTTCACCATAAAATCATGACTTGGAGTCAACAGGCGAACAGATACTTGCTCATCTCCTTTATTCTTTGAGTTGCAGCAATGGTAATGGCCTAGAGGTCAGCCAATGCACTCCCTGCTTGTAGACAAGGAAGTTGAGGCCCAGGGAAAGGAAGTGGGTCCCCCACCCTCACCACCTGTGGCAGAGCTGGGCTTGAACCAGCACCCTTGACTTCACCTGGTCCTTTTCTCTCCCCCATACACCATGTAGTTTATTCTCCAGTTCAACTCCCTACCTCTTTGTGGAGTGCTGTTTGTTGTTGGACATTGTGACAAGTGCTAGAGCTTCTGCAGGGCAAGACAGTGAAGCTCTTTCTAGGGAACCTCATTTGGAGGGGAAGCTAGTTCTTCAGTAAGCCTTCACAAATGCAGTGAGTGTAAAAATGGGAAGTGTGGGCTGTGGGAGCGTTGGCAGTGAGTTAGGGAGGGAGGGCCTTGGGGAAGTGACTTTTAAGTGGGACCAGCACTGTGATTAGGGTGGGGAACAGTGTTCCTGGAAGAGGAAACAGCATGTGTGAAAGCCTGGAAAGAAGAGCTGAAGGTTGACCAGTGAGCACGAGGGTCCTGTTTGTGGGGGAGCTGGCTCTAGTTGAGGCTGACAGGTGGATAAGAACCTGTGTGCCAAGGTGAGTAATAGGCCCGTGCCAGGACACTAGACAGCCACTGCAGGACTTTATCGGTGTGTACATTGGGCAGGGTATAAAACCTTTGGAGGTGCTTCCTCCAGTCTCAGGTTGGGCAGGCCTGGTGTTGCATTGCACTGCCCTGTCTGCATCCTGTGTAGAGAGAGAGCCTCCAGAATCAGGCAGCCCTTCTCTGCATCTCCCTGACTCCTCAGCATACGACTCCGTAAAGGTTTGCATCCTTAAGTCTGTAACATGTCTGGTGATTCCTGGAGTGTAGCAAAAGCCACACTTACCCCCAGCTGCCTGGGATGCAAATGGTGGTAGGAAGGGCAGAAGCATCTGTGGCATCCATGGTGACTGTGCCTTGGGGAACACCCATCTGGTTATCCTGCTGAGCCACTCATGCGTGCAGGCACAGAAACTAGAGCGCTGAAGCAGAGCCAGGACTCAGACTGGGGTTTCTGCCTCCTGGGCCCCTGCATTCTCCAGTGGGGCAAGCTGTGTGGGAAGGAAAAGCCAGGAGAAAGCTGGAAGTTTAAATGATAAAAGGAAGTGGATGAAGTGGGCTGGGAGAAGTCGGCCCAACTGAATATTCAGTTAGGCTAACCACATCTGGTCCGGCAGGGAGCGCGTGGGAGAGTTTCTCTCCAAGGCAGTTGTGGGATCGATGCAGTCTCACTTTTGCCTCCAGGATTTTAAATAGAACCTGTTTTTGTTTGTTTGCTTGGATTGTCCAGCTGTTTCTTGCTGTGACACTTGCTGCTATTGTTAGCTGCCGTCATCTATCTCAGATTCATGGTGACCTCACGCACAGCGGAGTGAAGCACTGGCGGTACTGCACCATCTGTCTGATCGCTTATGGATCAGACCATTGTGATCCATAGGGCTTTCATTTGGCTGACTTTTAGAGGTCAATTGCCAGGTCTTTCCTCCTACTGCCTTAGTGTGGAAGCTCTGCTGAAACCTGTTCAGTGTCATAGCTACCCACACGCCTCCACTGACAGACGGGTGGAGGCTACACATGAAGTGTGTTGGTCAGGAATAGAGTCCATATCTCCTGCATGGAAGGCAAGACTTTACCAGCGAACCACCACTGTCCTTGAATCTGTAGCATTTGCCAACTCCTAATATCCTGTATGATTTGTGCATTTGTCTTCTGTGTTGTCATTCCCTCTGTCTTGTCAGCTCCAGGAGGTTGGGACATCTTGTCTGTCTTCCTGCCTGCTGTATTCTGAGTGCCTAGGACAGTGTCCAGCGCACTTCCAGTTCCTCTTTGTAGGATGAATGCTTTCCACTCCGACCAGCAGATCCCAGAGTCATGCGTGACTGCATGCAGGGCCTGGCTGCCCCACCCACTTGGGGGGTAGCCACAGCCTTTGAGAGGACTTCAGAGATGAGCATGCTGTCCGTCCTGTTGGGGCTCTTACCCTCAGAAGCACCCAACAGTGGAACGACTACATCCCCTGGTCTGTGCTCTGCCCTGCATTTGGGAGGGTCTGGACACTGCATACGTGGCAGGGAGGCTGGGACTTAGATAAACAGTAGGGTGACACCTCCCTGCCTGTGTCCACATTGACCGGTCAGCTTTCAAAGCAGTCCTCTCTCCGTTTGCAATTTCTTCTTTCTTTTTTTTTTAATTGTGATTTGGGTGAAAGTTGACAGAGCAAATTCAACAATCCATACACACTGTGTTCTGTGACATTGATTGTGGTCCCCGTAGTGAAGCAACACTGTTCCCACTTCCTGTGTTTACCGCTCCCCTTCCTCCTCCTCTCCTGTCCCTTCCTGCCCTTCTGAGCTTCACCCCTGAGCACTGCTGCTCTCCATCTTGTGTGGCTGATCCTTCTCCTGAGTGGCACCCCCCCGGTGTGATTGCTCACCTGGCGGCCCGTCTGCTTAGGCTGACAGTTGGGCCACAGGGATGAGTTTGGTTCCAGGCCTGAAGGGTGTCTAAGGGCCGTCGTCTCAGGGATGGTTTTATAGGTGACTCTTCTTCTATGAGGTGCTTCTTCCTCATGAGATAGCACATGAGATCTAGCTGTTTTCTAAAACAAAGCAGCTTTTATGTCCCAGAAGCCTCAGCCAGAGCTGCACGAGGGTCTTCATTCCTGGCCCTCCCTGAGTCTGCGCCTTCGTTCAGTTGTCAGCACACTCTGTCGGGCCTGTTTTCTGTGTGTGGCAGGGACTGAAGGGGACACAGCTGGTACGGATTTGTAAGCCGGACTGAGAGCTGGGGAGAGGGATAGGCGATGGGGTGATGCTTGGCTTACAATAACTAACTGGATCTAGTGCTTGAGAGTAATAGTGGTGTGAATTGTATAGTGGTCTACAGCATATGGAGTCATTTGAGAGGCGTTTACATTATTTTTTGGGGTCCCTGGGTGGTACAAATGGTTAACACTCTCGGCTGCTAA